CATCAAAGGATTACAAATTCTGGAGCAAAGGCCCCTACATCATTTTTGGCTATACTACTCAGCCAATTTGGAAATGAATCAAACCAAGTTATCTCAGAAACTAAGTTTAAGGCAAATTTTGCCAATTGATGTGACACAGAATTCCCTTCCCTCTTAATAAAAGAGAAGAAACAGGAACTAAAACTTTTACTCAGAACCTCTATATCAAAAAGGACAGCTCCTGCTAAGTGCTCATTCAGGTCCCTTCCCTAATCTGATCAATGATTCCCTTGCAATAAGATTGAATGATAATGTTTATCCAGCCATTCCTCTTGGCAAAAATTAGAGCTTTCCGGATTGCCATAGCTTCTTCAACAGCAGGAACTCCCTCTCTTCCTTCACAACCAGCCCAAGCACCTCTTAACATTCCTTTATTGCATCTAGCAACAACTCCCCATCCTACCTTAGCTTCATTCTTCCTAATAGCTGCATCAGTATTTAAACATAAGAAACTCCCTGATGGTGGCTGCCATCTAACCATCCTGTCTCCTGTTCCTATCCCAACAACTACCTCATCTCTTAATGCCATGTTTGCTACCTGAAACTCTAGCCACTCTTGCACCGCCTTGTTTGCTGTTACACCTGGACATCTTCCCTCTCTATTTAACTGTATGTTATTCCTGGATTTCCAAATCTGCCATAATACATTAATAGTCAGCTCAATATGCTCCATACCTTTCTTCCTAGCCTTTGCCTCCATCAGACCATTCCACCACAGCCAGAAGTTATGCCTGCAGTCCTTCAACCCATCCCAACTAATTGGGGCAGCTTTCCATATCAACTCAGCATGCTTACAGAAAAAGAACATGTGCTCCAACGTTTCTGTCCCTTCTCCACAAACACAGCACCTATCATTACCTTCTCCAATTCTCCTCCTAATTGTCTCATTAACTGGCAATATGCACTGGAGACATTTCCAAATAAAATGCTTAAGCTTATGCTTAATGTTCAGACCCCATAGAAACTTCCACACCCCTGAATTAGTGTCGTTTCTGCTGCTGCTTTCCTGCTGTAGGCTATCCTTTCTACCCTTGTTTTGTATCTCCTTTGCAACCACATATCCAGACTTCACAGTGTACTCTCTTGATTTAGGCAGCATCCAAACTAGTCTATCCTTACCCCCAAAATCACTTATTGGAATATTAAGTATTCTTTGACAGTCCTCTTCTTCAAACAGATTCCTTAGTAAGTCCTTATTCCACCTTCCCTCAAAAACCAGCTCATGAACTCTTTGGATACTACAATGCAGAGGCTTTTTTGATCTTATTTTCCCATCCTCCAAGTCAAGCAACCACTTGTCCTTCCATATCCTAATCTGCTGACCATCTCCCACTCTTTTCCTAACCCCTGCTGCTAACACCTCCCTTGAGCTCAGGATACTTTTCCATATCCAGGAATCCCCTGCATGGCTTCTTATGTTCAAAATGAAGGATCTTCTAAAGTACCTCCCCCTGACAACCTTGCTGACTAACAGGTTAGGCCTTGTCAAAATTCTCCAAAGCTGCTTAGCAAGCATAGCAGTATTAAATTGTTGGAGATCTCTGAAGCCCAAACCCCTTTTCCCTTTTACCTCGGACAATCTCCTCCACTCCATCCAATGGATTCTCCTGTTTCCCTCCCTATCCCCCTACCAAAATTTAGCCATTTCTTTACAGATATCCTTAAATAATCCTTTAGGCAGTTTGCAGCAGCTCATAGCACATGCAGGAAGAGCTAGTATAACAGATTTTAGAAGCACCTCCTTACCAACATTACTCAACAGCCTCTCTTTCCATCCCCCTAGCCTGTTGCAGACCCTCTCCCTGATGTAGTTAAAAACTTGCCTCTTTGGCCTTCCAATAACCATTGGTAAACCCAGATACTTACTTTGCTTAGCCTCCTTCATACCACCCAAGATATTAAGGATTTCACCCTTTACTGAATTCCCAATATTCTTGCTAAAGAACACTGAGGACTTCTCAGCATTTATGGCTTGTCCTGAGGCTTCTCCATACAGCTTCAGCAGATTCATCACATGAGCAGCCTCCTCCTTATTTGCTCTGCAGAACACCAAGGTATCATCTGCAAAAAAGAGGTGAGACAAGGCTGGACTCTGCTTAGCAATCTTAAATCCAGAAATGTCATGGTTAATCATGGCTCTCTTAAACAATCCTGACAGTCCCGCAGAAACTAGTAAAAAGATGTAAGGAGACAGGGGATCTCCTTGCCTGATACCTCTTGTAGGTGTAACCAAACCCCTTTTCTCTCCATTCAAATTAAAAGAGTACACCACAGAAGACATACACTTCGAAATCCAGTTTCTCCATTTTTGACAAAAACCCATCTTTTCCATTATTTTTAGCACAAAAATCCACTCCACTCTATCATAGGCTTTGGCCATATCAAGCTTCAAAGCCATGAAAGCATTTGATCCACATCTTCTGTTATTCAAACAATGGATGGATTCGTGTGCAATAACAACATTATCAATGATTTGTTTACCTGGGATAAAAGCTGACTGGTTTTGGCTAACACAGTGTTTTAGGAAAGACTTAAGTCTATTGACCAGAATTTTAGAGATTATCCTATAGACTACACTACACAGGCTAATGGGTTTAAACTGAGAAACAGAAACTGGGGACTCAATTTTAGGAATGAGAGTGATGATGGTTTCATCGACAGCCCTTAGTAAGTGCCCAGAATGGAAGAAACTAGCAATAGCACTTACTAAATCATTTTTTAACACACTCCAGTACTGTTGAAAGAAAATAGGAGTCATGCCATCAGGCCCAGGAGCTTTGTTGGGTTGCAAAGAGAACACAACTTTTCTGACTTCCATTTCAGACATAAGTCTAACTAGCATAGCATTCATTTGGTCTGTGATCACTGTGGGGATCCCACTCAGAACAGGCTCAAACTGCTGAGGATTACTAGTAGTAAAAAGTTTCTGAAAGTAACCATTGATTTCCTCCTCAATATCTGGCTCAGAATCACACCAAGATCCATCTCCTCTTTGTAAACTAGATATATTATTCCTTCTTCTCCTCTCAGTAACACTAGCATGGAAAAATTTTGTATTCTTATTCCCCTCCTTCAACCATTTGACTCTAGCTTTCTGTTGCCAGAACACCTCCTCCCTCCTATAGGCCTCTTCCAGTTTCTTCTTAAGCACTCTCACCCTTCCAGCTTTATTGGCTTGCCCATCTGTATTAGCCTGTATGATCTTCTGCTTCAGCTCTACAATTTCTTTCTTTGCATTCTTACCTTTATGTTTATTCCAGTTCAGAAGAGCCACTCTGCAATTTCTGATTTTTTGATGCAGATTAAAAAATCTAGATCCCTCTCGCTGTTTCTCCCATTCCTTAGACACAATCTCCCCCACTTCCTTATTATTGATCCAATTTCTATCAAAATAGAACCTCCTTTGCCATTTCCTACCCTTTGGTTCAGTGTCTAGCAGCAGCATAAGATGATCAGAAGCATTATTTTGGATATGTATGCACTTAGCCTTCTCATGCTCACTTCTCCACTGTTTACTGCAAAGAATTCTATCTAAACGCTCATTTACTTCCCTCCCTTCCTCCTAATGATTTGACCAAGTCCATGGTATCCCTTCAAAACCAATGTCAACAAGCTGATTAGAGATTACAAGGTTCCTAAAAATTTGAAAACTACTCTCAGACCTCCTACTACCCCCCACTTCTCCTCATTTGACAGGATGTCATTCATGTCACCTGCCAACACCCAATTCTGACCCCACACACTCATCCTATTCTCTATGATCCTCCACTGTTTCTCTCTGAGCAGATCCTCACTACTAGCATACAAACAAATCAGCCACCACCTGTCCCTAGCACCAGTCTTTTCTAGCAACACTTTAATGGTAAAGTCAGTACAAAGAATCTGACATACCTTCAAATCATTTCTCCACATTACAGCCATCCCACCAGCTATACCAATTGGATCCACCACAACCATTCTATCATATCTTAATTTAAGTCTCACCCTATTCATAATTTCTTTTTTATTTTTTGTTTCTGATAAGAAAATCAACTCAAGGGAGTGGAGTTTAACACTCTCCTCTATCTGGGGAACTGTCAAGGGGCTCCCAACACCTCGACAGTTCCACACCAGAGCTCTCGTAGGGACCTGGGAGCCCCATTAAGGCAGGACTCCACCACCCTAGATGCTAGGTCCACTCCAGCCACACTACACACAGTCTTGCCTCTCTTCTGACCTTCCCCTTGTTCACTAATATTTTCCTTATCCCCACTCTCACTCAGCTTCCTTTTACCCCCTTCATGAACAATGACCATACCCCCATTTTTGTCCTCCAGAGGAATTCTTCTACCTACCTCTCTAACCAACCTCTTCCACCCCCTATTCCCCTTATACTTTCCCCCTCTTAGCTCTATACTACCATCCAGCTCCTGTTGTGCTGTCACAGGATCACTCCCCTTATCCCCTCTATTCCTCTCCTTAATAACAGTATCAATGCCATCAATCCACATAGAATCAAATAGTTCCTGATCCTTCAGCCCCCTCTCTGGCCACCCTCCTGTATTTTTTCCTCAGTAGTGAAACTCAGTCCCTTAGTAACTTTACTCTTTCCCTTAACAGCATCAGCCTTCTTCTTATGATCAGGCTGCACACTTTTTTGCTTAATGACTTCCACCACCACCCCCTGGTCTCCATTCTTTCCAGTGCCTTTCATTATTACCCATAAATCCCTCTCCTTTCCCTCACTCCCTTTTACTATAGAATCTACATTTACCTCTACTAGCTTCCAGGGCAGGCAGAGTTGTTCCTGCCCCCTGTCCCCCTATTCCTTAGCCAAATGTGGCCCTTCACCAACCTTACCCTCCTCCCTACCAGAAGAATTCTGTTTCCTAATAGGACTCCTCGCATTACGTGCTCTAAGCCAGGCTCTATACTGATTCTCCTTATCCATATTCCCTCTTCTTTCCCTGCAACTCCTCTCATTATGCCCCATGACCCCCACAACAGTAGCAAAAGTCAGGGCATTTCTCATATTTAAATTCTATCCATCTAGAACTGCCCCTCAGCTTAACCGTGGTTCCTCTCAGCATTGGTTTAGTTAAATCCATCTCAACCAGGATTTTTAAATGTTTCCCCTCCTTCCCGCCACCAGTAGGAACAATCACCTCCCTTACGAAGCTGAAAACTCCCCCAATTTTCCTACTAATATCCTTTGTAATCCAATGAATAGGTAAGTTCCACAGTTGGACCCAAATCCAAGTCCTATTAAAGGCTTCAAGGTTCAGTTCTATCCCCTCTTCCCATGGTAAAACTACCAAAGGCAAATTATCGTAAACCCATGGCCTTCCCTTCAACACCCTATCCATTTCCTGTTTATTACTAAAGCTAAACTGGAACATATTAACCCCTATCTCAACAACTCTTAGATTTCTTGCAAACAGCCACATATTATTAGCAAAGCTCTTTATACCAGCAATGTTCGCTGTCTTCTCTCCCACCACCCTTCCAATTATGCTCAATTGACATTCCACTACTCCCTGAGCCAGATCCTTACTATCTAACTCTACACCCCCAGCCTCATCCTCTGTCAGAGCAAATTTCCTCCAAATTTCCTCCAGATCCTCATTCATCCTGAACCAAAACTAGTAAGAACCCCAGCAAATCACAGACCAAGCGAACAATACCAGTATCCAGACCAAGCAGAAACAGAAGCCACAAAAAGCTAAAGAAGCGACACAACCAAAACACAGGAAAACACAATAACAGAAACACAGCCAATTGAACAGCACAACAAAAGGATTAGGAGACTTAGAAAGACAGCACAAAGCTACTACTACTACTACAAAGGAAGATGTCACCTGTAAGCAGAATCTAGATCGATGGAGAAAAGACTCTGGAGTAGAAAATGACCGCACTAGAAGCTGTAATCAAGAAGCAAGCTCATCCGAGCTCGAATCCAGCTTGAGAACTCAGCTCGCAGAAGCCACAACCAATAACTCAATCAGGAACAGGACGACAAAATCATGATAATCAAATTATTCCACCGAATGCACCATTGAAGCACCATCAATGTGGATCAAGATGGAAGAATAGCTTCAATTTGTTTGAATTGTATTTGTTTTTTGAAGGTTGGAAATAAGAAAAGTACGGGAAAATTGAATTTGAAAAAGTAACTTCAAAACACCTACTAAAGGTGAAGTTGGCTCCCTACTTAGAGAGAGAAAGTAACCACCTACAGGAGGGAATTTTTTAGGTTCATAAAATACGTTCTTTAGTTTGTCTAAATTTTGAAAATTATCTCGTGTCCACACTCCATATTTGATCTCGTATATTCCAAGACCTTGTACATTTCAAGCATTTATCTTATCAGTTGAGAGGACAACCACAACCACTCTTAATCTATCTTCCTTCTCCTCTACAACATTTCAATCCACAAAGAGATGCACTCACACAATAGCAAATTTTCAATTTATCTTTAATTTGTCTAAATTTTGTGACTACTAAATCCGTAACGCTCATATAGATGTCACAATGTGGTCACAAAAAGTTTTTGTGACTATTCAAACCCTTTTATGACTACTATTTACAGGTCACAAAAATTACTTTTTTTAGTAGTGTTCAACTATGCAAGCTTGCCAATTGATTAAGTTCGACTGTTTTGCAGCTCTAATTAGTTCAACCATTTGCAGCTCTTGATTAGTTCATACTTCGATCAGACCATGTTGAACATAATTAGAGATGTCAACGTAATGAGAAATTTATAATCAAAATGATATCTTGAAATAGTTATTTAATTTCATTCAGTAAATGATACATCTCTTTCAGTAGCAAACATTTATGGAATAAAAGGTTTTGTCCGCATAATATTACAATCGTATCATAAGTACTTTAATTAATTCAGGTATCATTGTCGATCAGCTTTAGAAGGAGATGTTAATCAACTTCTATAAATTGGTTTCACGGTCACGAATCATGGATGACCCATGCCTGGCGCCTGCGGCAGAGGGGTCTCATAGGCGATTCTGCGGTCCGTCCCTATTTCTTTTTCCGCATATATTTTGTCATTACTCCTAAATCCACCTGCAATTTAGAAAAGTAGAAGAATATGAAAGTGACTCCAATTCTTTTTCTTTTTTCGACGAAAAAAAGCTAAGAATAATAGTGATGAACTAATGATGAGTCTGCACTAAGAGCGGACGCCGGACAGTACAAAATGTGCCCTGAAGAAGGATGAAACGGGCCAGTAGGATTTTTTTTTTTAATCAAAAGTTTAAAAATATTGTGCAAAACTAGGGACATAGAAAGGGTGGGGATAATGCTATGGTGGGTGCATCCTGTTTTTGTTATGCTTATCTTGTGCCTAAAGAAAAGAATGTGATTGTTTGTTGCCCATCTTCGGGCTAGTTGGTTTCTAGACATAGTATAAGATGCAGATTGTAGTCTTTAACAGGTGTAGTCTAGTGAAGAATTGCTCATTGGCTAAAAAAAAAAAGTTTTGCATCTAAATAATATTATCTAAACCGGTGCTTAATTTTGTTTTTCATTTAAAATGGACCAGCATTAAGCTGATTATTCAAAAGTTTCATTTGCTTATTGAGTTCTTTGTCTGCCAATTCACCTTTTAAATTTGTAGAAGTGCTCTATTTTATTCATTTTGTTAATTTGCCTCGACAACCCAAACAGAGTACCTAAGGCAGTTATACAGAATAGTGAAATCTTGTTCTCTTTTTATTTTATATTATTATTCTTTTTGGGAAAATAGTGCACTTCATTTTAAGATAACTGTTGAAGAAAAAAAGGTTCAATGAGCAAATTGAAATTATTAAGGTTAAATTACGTATAACGTCCTATTATTTTACATAATGTCAGATGACTCCCTAAGGTTTCAAAATAGCTACATAATCCCTATAATTTTATATAAAGTGGAAAATGAACGAAATGCGCAATCAGTGATGGCCTTTATACCAAACACGCTCTAAAAGCGTGTCTGATAAAATTTTAATCTCCATGTAACCACTTTAGGATTTGTATAAATATTCACTTAACTCTCTTGTGATTTTTGCTTTTATCCACATAATTCCCTTATACTTTTATACAAGGTAGTTGAGCCATCAATTAATTTAGCATTTAAGTAAGGGTACTATTAGTATTTTAATTAATGATATTATATAGGCTATTTTTCTTTAAGTTTCCACATTACACAAAACCATATGAGGAAGTAGATATTTTGAAACGTTAGGCAATAGACGAAATCACAGGGGGTCACATGTAATTTACTGAGTTATTAAAAATTAATGAATTAAAGTTGCAAGGAAAACTTTTCTAGATATGTTAAAATTTAAATAGCTCAAAGAATTACATGCTAAGTACCTATATATGAATAATATTTCCGTATGGGAATATGCATATGCCACCGGAAACATTTAAAATCTGGTCAAAAAGCCAGCCATCCACGTTGGTTGAAAGACCCAGGATCATGGCCTTACAAATTGAAATAGTTTCAGCTCAAATCGGTTTATGTAATTTTTATTGCATCTGCTGTAAACTCGTATACTTTTAGTATAATTGTCAAGTTAGTTATATAAGTTTACAAGTGCAAGTTTACATCCAGATTATATGATTTTACACCAAAAGTTATAAGAATTATACTAACCAATTTAAACTCCGTCAAATTTTAACTTGTGAGGCCCTAATCCATCCTTCCATTCGTGAGTCATATGTCAAGGCAGAGCTAGCATGCAGCACAAAACAAAGACTCCAGCATGATGAGTGCAAACCAGTAATCTTTTTCTTTTACTATTTTTAACCATGATTATCGATAATCCACAAATATGAAATCTTAGAACTATGAAGAGGAATCACTTACTTGTCTCCATGATCTTTCTCGGCGTTGAAGGTAGGATGGCCTGAGTAGAAATTAAGAAGAGAAAGAGAAGTATGGTGAACAGAGCCTTGCTGTTGCTGCCCATGTTTGTTACACAAGAGTTTTAAGGTTAGCGCTTGTATTCTAATATTCCTACTCGATGATTATGTAAAGAAACAAATTTTTATAGCCATTTACGAAGCAATCGAGTTTCTCTGCGATTACATTGACGGTTATGTTTGTCATTTGAGCCGTCAACTTTGAAAAAAAAAAAAAAAAAAAGGAATGGCTCGAAGCTCGAATTGGGTCAAGCGGATCTAGTCAAGTATAGGACATAACCACCTCGGTAAATATTTAAGTAATCCTGTGTAGAGAAAAAAAGGTATTATCCCAAAAATTCAACTCGGCCGGTAGCGACACTAATTGGCGTGCCACTTGTAGGTGAGGCAAGAAATTGGAGACAAGCACAAATAAATTGTTACTAAACCTAGTCAATTATTGGGTATGGTTTAATAATGGGATGGTTAACATAGTAACTTTTCGAATTAAATACAGTTGTATATAAAAACTTGGGATAAATTTTGAAATCTCTCCTGAGATTTCTGACAATTTCACTAAGCACTTCTAAAGTTTCAACAATTATACCTACCTCTGTTGTAATTTAAAATGACCATATTAAACTTAATATTTTAATAAAACTCCATTGTTACCATATTTATACAAAGAATGGATTTTATAATTTTGTTTCTTTTTTCTTCTCATTCATTTCTCTTTTATCTTATTAAAAATGTAGAAAAACTATTAATGTTGTCTCTAACATCTATCATGATCAAATGTTAAACTAGTAATATTTTTTGATAACTTTTAACATCATCCAATTTTTTTTGTAGCTCTTATATTTTGTATCAAAATCAAGAATAAATCAACAACAACTAAAAACAAATAGCCCAAAATCACTACTAAACTATGATAGTTTCATCACTAAACTAGTGCATAAATTTTTCTTCAAAAAACAAAAAACTAGTCCATAAACTTTTTAAAAAAATGATTTTAAAATCAAGAAGAATAGGTTTGAGAAAACTTCTCTCTTCGGCTCCTCTTCTCCAACTTCTCTCTACTGCTCCTTTTCTCTGAATCCCTTCCTCTTCAGGAGGAAGACCCCCATGGTCTCCCTAATTTCCCTCCCATAAGTTTCGTTTTTGTTATATTCCTAATAAAGTCTCCCTTAAATTTTTTTAGTGGGAGATCTCTGTTTCTCTTAGGGTTCCTAATGAGAATTTTTGTTCTCTTAGGAGTTCCTAGTGAGATTTTGTGTTATTTTTCCTTGTTTTGTTGTTTAAATTTGAATTTACTTCAGATCTGGTTGTCAGATTTGAATTTATTTCAGATTTTGGTCTATGACGGCAAATCTCATCATCTTTATTGGAGTTTACAACTGTTGATTAGTAGATCTGACGATTGCAACATGCATGGAGTGGGCTGCAGTATGAGGAGATAATTTTAAAATTGATGGTGCTTTTAGATTTGTTCTTAATTTCTCAGGTCTTTTGCATCTGTCAAATTGTAGATCTACAATTTTAGTGCATATTTTATCTACTATTAGGGCAATGATGTATATCAATCGTGTTGGACGATTTCCAGCAATCCGTTAATGAAATATGTTTTGTTATAAAAAAAAAAAACCAAGATAACACTCTCTTCTTTATCTTAAAAAGAATCTATATCCCTAATAAAGTACCATGAAAAGTAGCCTATTATAGCAAAAAATTTATTGTTACAATTGATTGTCAAATAATAAATATTTGCAGGAAAAACTTGATATTGTTTGACTGTTTTGATATTTGTGGTGAGTGACCTAATATGGATATTAGTCAAGAAAATATATAATCTAATTTAAATAGACTGAACTTGCAAGTTTGTTGATTAGAATTAGTGATTTCTCTGATTTTTAATACTGTCGATACATTAAATCCTAAGAGTTTGTTTAGCGCTATCTATTAATAAGAGAAGTAATCAAAGAATTTATTTTGATTACCAAGAAATTAAGAAGAAATTGGTTGCTAGGCTTGTTAATAGCCATAACCAATTTATTCATGAATATATAAATTTATCTTTGTATCAATGATCAATTGATTGAATCAAGACCGAGATTAATCTTTTGACTAGAAGATCATTACTATTTCAGTTTTATTTGATTTTCATTAGTATTTTTCTTTTAATTGTATTGTTTAATTTAATTTCTCAAAAAACCCCATTTAATTATTGCTTTCACAAAGAAATAAATCAATTAATCTCCAACCCTACTCATTACTGCACACAAGAGTAATCATTTTATGAATAGGTATTTTTATTTTGGGATAATTTCAGAAACCTCTCCTGAGGTTTCTGACAATTTTACTGATCTCCCCTGAGGTTTGGAAAATTATGTCTACGTCCCTTGATTTAATAGTTTTAGTAACAAAACTTTAAAATAATATTGACTTGGTCAAATTTTTAAATGAATACCCAAAAATGCCCTTGTGTAATGAGTTTTAATTTACGTTCTTATACAATTATAAGATTGTCTAGTATAAGTATAAAAAAAAGGTTCCAAAATTTTCATTTCCGTACCTACTGTTTGGTAAATAATTATAATAATAATTTTATTATTATGATAGGATACTTTTGATAGTATTTTATTATGAATTTATATTTATAAGATAGAGAAGAAAATGTTGAAATAATTCATTTAGAGTTTATGCATTTTTCGAGTAGTGGGATTATCATAATTTAGTTATGATTTTGGGCCATTTCTTTTGATTTATTATTAATTTTAATACTAAACAATAGAAAACAAAGATCAACAAAAACATTGGATTGCATATAAAATTAATTCATAAAAAAAATTCACTAGTTTGACATTTGATTACAATAGAAACTAGAGGTAATAATGGTAGTTCTACAGTTTTATTGGCAAAAAATAAAAAAAAATAATAAGAGGGAAAAAGAATGAAAAAATAATTTTAAAGGTCACTCTAAGTATAAACATACCAAACAAGGGAATTTCATTAAATTATTTAAGGGTAGTATTGTCATTTTAAATGACAAGGGAGGTATGTGTAATTTTTAAAACCTTAAGGGAGCTAAATGAAATTTTTAAAAACCTCAAGGGTGGTTTTGAAATTATCCCTTTTATTTTTATTGGATTCGACACCCATCACCAAAATTTGGGAAAAAAAAATCATCTATTGGCAATTTCTCACTTCTATTTCATGAAATATAAAACCAAATAATTAAGCATAATCCCTCACCACAATATACAGGTCTATACCATAAATAGCTTAGCCTGTCGATTGATCGTCATTCTTACGAATCAGGCAACCGCTACTTCATTTCTATGGAATAGAAGGCGCTCAAGTCACCTTCTTCTGCAGATTTAGTAGGAAAGTCATCCTTATATTTTCTAAATCAATGACAGAAGATAAAAATGTTCAATCTCATCAAGACATTTCATTGCATTAAATTTCTTGGCCATCGAGATAGACATCTTAAATGTTTCAATCTCAGAAAGAGAGAAAAGAAAAATGGAAAATTAACAAGAAAAGGACAGAAAAGAAGACCTCGGAAGTCTCCCTTGTACAGCTGGGAATACGGGATAAATACTTGCTTTATTTGTGGTACACATAGCAACCTGGGCAAACTTGAGTTGAACTCGAAAGTAGTCATGGGTTCTTTTGAATTTATGTCGATATTCATTATGGTCCTACTTTTCCCATCATCTCATCCCAAAGCCAAAGGTGTCGCTTCAGATTCTGCTAGTGAGGCTGCTGCTCTTTTGAAATGGAAAGCCAGTTTTCAAAACCAGAACAATAGCTTGCTAACCTCGTGGAACCGCGACTCCATCAATGCAAAGAATTCTTCCAACCTTCCATGCACTTGGGCTGGTATTTCTTGCATTAACGGAAGTGTCAACAGGTTGAATCTCTCAGAATGGAGCATAAAAGGCAGCCTTTATGACTTCCCATTTTCATCCCTCCCAAATCTTGAATATCTTGATCTTAGCCTGAATCAAATCTTTGGCAGCATACCTCGTGAAATAGGTAACTTGTCGAAGCTCATTTATCTTGATTTCTCAGTTAATGAGTTGTCAAAAGAAATCCCACCTGAAATTTGCAACTTGAGAAACTTGACTCGTTTAGCTCTTGGTAGTAATCAACTTTCAGGTCCAATTCCATCTGGAATAGGAACTCTGCATACTCTTGTTGAACTTGGTCTGGAGGACAACAATTTAACAGGTTCAATTCCATCCACTTTTGGCAACCTCAACAGGCTAGTAAAGTTATACCTTTTCCGAAATCACCTATATGGTCCTATCCCCCACACGATAGGAAATCTGATCTCACTCCAACATCTTATCTTGTCTCAAAATAATCTTGTTGGTGCAATCCCAAAGTCACTAGGCAATTTGACTAATTTAACTCATCTGTATCTCTATGAGAATCAACTTTCAGGTCCAATTCCAAAAGATTTGGGTGATCTCAAATTCCTTATTGAAATGGTAATAAGTGAGAATCAATTTAATGGTTCTATTCCTGTTTCAATTGGTAATTTGAGTAACTTAAACGAACTGTATCTCCGAGCGAACCAATTTTCTGGTACCATTCCAGAAGAGCTTGGAAAACTGCAAAAGTTGGTAGTTTTGGAATTGGATCAAAATCAGTTATCAGGTCCGTTGCCGGAACTGCTATGCCAAAATGGAACCCTCCAAAACATAACTGTATCTGAGAACAAGCTTACAGGTCCAATCCCTCGAAGCTTGAAATATTGCTCAAGCTTAATTAGGGCCCGCTTCAACGGGAACCATTTCCACGGTAACTTGTCAGAAATGTTTGGCATCTATCCCTTCCTGGATTTCATAGATCTCAGCAACAACGAATTCCATGGTGAACTCTCCAGCAGCTGGGGAAAATGCAAAAGCTTGACAACCCTGAAGGTTGGAAAGAACAACATCACAGGTGGTATACCTCCAGAAATTGGAACTTTAACTCAATTACATGCACTTGATCTTTCTTCAAATTATTTATCTGGGCAGATACCAAGAGTAGTTGGGAAGTTGGCTTCTATGCTCGAACTAGATTTACATGACAACCAACTCACTGGCAGTATACCTCAGGAATTGGGAGCACTGACAGGACTTCTTTATCTAGACCTGTCCACAAACTCCTTAAATGGATCTTTTCCAGAACATTTGGGAGATTTGAGGAACTTGTTTCACATGAACTTGAGCAACAACGTATTAAGCCAAAAGATTCCATTCCAGATTGGGAAGTTGACCCAACTTTCTGAATTGGATTTGAGTCGAAATTTCTTCACAGGAGAGATACCATCTGAGTTCCAAAGTTTGCAGAGCCTAGGAACATTGGATCTCTCACACAATAACCTCTCTGGTTTGATCCCAAGTGCTTTGGCAAAATTGCCTGGTCCATTGCACATCAATATATCATTCAATAATTTAGAGGGCCCAATTCCGAGTGGTAGAGCCTTTGTGAATTTAACCATAGAGGAAGTACAAGGAAATAAAGGTTTGTGTGGGAATTTTTCAGGGTTACCGGCTTGTGAAAGTTCCCCGTTGATTAAAAAGCATGTCAAGAATAAGGGGAAGAAAAAACTTGTTCTCACAATTTTAAGTCCTCTTCTGGGATCATTCGTACTTCTTTGTGCATTCTTTGGTGGTCTCAGATTGCATAAGCAATGGAGAAAAAGTTCAGGAACGGAAGATATTGATATGAACAAAGTAAACTTATTTTCCATATGTACTTTTGATGGCAAAGCATTGTATAAGGAAATAGTAATGGCTACAGAAGAGTTCAGTGACATATTGTGCATTGGTAAAGGAGGTTATGGAAGTGTTTACAAAGCACAGCTTCCATCAGGCGATGTAGTAGCTGTAAAGAGACTTCACAACATGCCTGAGATGGCAAGTCATAAAAATTTTTTGAATGAGATAAGGGCCTTGACAGAAATCAAGCATCGAAACATTGTGAAACTCTTTGGGTTCTGCTCAAATTCTCAGCATTCATTTTTGGTATATGAGTACCTTGAAAGAGGGAGCTTGGCCAAAATCTTTAGCATAGAAGAAGAAGCTAAGGAACTAGACTGGCGAAAGAGATTAAAAATCATCAAAGGCATTGCTCATGCTTTATCTTACATGCATCATGATTGTTCGCCAGCCATTGTACATCGGGACATATCAAGCAACAACATTTTGCTTGATCCAGAATATGAGGCTCACATTTCAGATTTTGGCACTTCTAAGTTTCTGAAAAATGATTCATCTAATTGGAGTTCTCTTGCAGGCACATATGGATATGTTGCACCAGGTAATAAAGGTTTTTTTTTTTCATCGATTTGCTAATACTAAATTCAAGTATGATCACATGTTATCACAACATTATTTTCCAAATTTCCTTGCAGAATATGCCTACACAGTGAAAGTAACTGAAAAGTGTGACGTTTATAGCTTTGGGGTCCTGACAATGGAAGTGATGAAAGGAAAGCATCCCGGTGACTTGATTGCTTATCTAATGTCTTCAAGCCCTGAAGAGATAGAACTGAAAGACTTGCTCGATCAAAGACTTCGGTATCCCAATGAAGAAATTGAAAACATTCTGGCATCCGTTCTTAAACTAGCAAGAGCATGTCTGCATGTTGATCCACAATCTAGGCCAACGATGCTCTTTATTTCCAGGTTGTTATCAACAGGTCCATCGTCTGTGTAACACTTTGTGAGTAATCGTGGCCATATAAATCATTTTTCCCCTTTTTTGTTTTGTTTTGTTAAGTAAATAGATATAACAGATATGCAGAATCTGATAACTGTTTCTTTTTTTTTTGGTTTGGTGCCTACATTGCCTCCTGTCAGCTGCTGTGTCTCACAATTTTTCGTTTTCTTACATAGCACTATCAAGCAACAGCACAAGATGACATGATGATGAATATTTGCACAAGATTCTGCGAGAAAAAAAAAAAAAAAGTTGTGGCTGCTGGCTATGTATTTATATCGAGGTGTAGTACAATGGGCTACTGCCAGTATAGAAGTCTTGAAATGTTCTGAGTTTGTATTTATTGTAAAAATACTCTATTCATAGCTAGTAATTCAGTGGGTGAATTGATACGAAAAAAATATAAAAACAGTATGATGAACAAGTAGAAACTTTGGGAATGTGTAGGATACAATATCTTGAACTCATTTGTAATTTAAACTTCTAAAACTCTTCAGTTTTGCTAGTGCGTGATCTTCTTTCATTATCCCATTCAAAACCAAACTTCATAGTTCAACTAGTCAATAACGAAGACTTTTCCTCCAAGTAATCACCTATTTTTGTCCACTAATTGATTACTACTTTTTATAGCAGCTATTGACAAAAAGAATTTATTTAAGGGGGCTGATATATATCACCAAAATTTTGTCACCATTTATCACCATATCTTAAACATGAGCAAAGCCAAGGCTTCCCATTTCCTAGATGCGCTTTTGTACTATTTAAGTTTATGTTTGAACAAAATCTGTGACTAAGATGCATTTTGTACTATTTAGGTAATTACTTTAAAAATTTTGACCGTGTATACAAGTTCGGAGAGATATTCTGGTCCTGGTCCCATATCCTTCGTTAGATATAAGCTCTCAGGGGAGTATATTTATAAATATCAACCAACAGTATGGTTATGTTAAACCAATGATATTATTCTAAAGGGAAAGCGACAATATGACTTAGCGACAAGAATAAATTCAAATTCAACAGTATGGTTCTTGATTAAAGACTGTTTGATATTGATAGAGGACAAAATGTGGAAAGGAGATGAAGAATTGGCAATGCGGATGGAAATGTTGGGGAAGGGTAGACATCAACAAAGACTAGGGAGGGTTAGTTCAATTTATAACAGATTTTAAGGTGGCGAAAACTAGTGCTAAATGGATTTATTTAAAAAGAAATAATACTTCGACATCAAGGAAATAGGAATTTCAAAATCTTGGGAGTTGGGGCTACCACACCCATTCTCACATGGGTTAAAGTTCTTGGCAATTATGAGAGCAATGGCATTATGCAAATGATGGCCCTAAAAATTTATAATATTTTTGTTTGTTACTGTCTTAATGCCTGCAATTATTGTTTTAGTTCTTACATCTAAGTATATATAATTTAAATTGGTTCAATTGTTAAGAACGGATCATTTTCTCACAAAAAATTGTGCATTTGAATCTTGTTATGGATTCGAAAACTATATTAGTAAGCAACTTATATGAACCTATGTAAACAACGACTTATGATCTTGAAAATATATTGTGACTTGTGGCAATACGTCCTTGTAACTTAAAGACTTGGGTAGCTACACATCATCATCAGGACCAAGTCTTTTAGACCTTTGCCAATACAAGGCCTAACATTTTAAATTATAAAAATCAACCACGAGTATCTGACCTTTACCAACAATTGCCCGCCATTAAAAATTGTTGGAAAACAACAATGACTTTTCTCGTCCAATATTACGTCAAGCTGATCATAAATGTTGGGGTTAATCACATTTTATCTCCTTAAAAAATACCTCATTTTTCAGTTTACCCCCTAACCTTTAATTTTGCTCACTTAACCCCTTTTAGGACAAAATTGCCCTTGCATTATTTTGACTTTTCATTTAACTTGTTTTCCTTTCTTTTATTTCTTTTTCTCTTTCTTCTTTATTTAAATCTTCCTCTTTCGCACAAAAATCTTCACCTTAATGATTGAAATTAAAAAAGAAATGATTAAAAAATATTCAAATCACTTCCCTAAAATACAATTTTTTTAGCCTTTCAATTCTTTTAATTTTGGGTTTTCCTCTTTGCTTTCTAGTTTCTCATTTTATTCCCAAGAAAATATGTTAAGATGAAATTGTGACCTGATTAATAATCACCAATTGAAATTTGTGACACGTGGCATCATACAAAAAATCAAAATTAGTTTTTTATGCCTTTTAAACCTTCACCTGGAAATACGCAATTACAAACTCAAAACAAAAAATTTCGTTGAAATGGAATTTCTATTGGGAAGGATGAAAGAGAGGAGAAAGAGAAAAAGAAATAAAAGAAAGGAAAACAATTTCATCTTATGATATTTTCTTGAGAATAAAATGAGAAACTAGAAAGGAAAGAGGAAAATCCAAAATTAAAAGAATTGAAAGGCTAAAAAAATTGTATTTTAGGAAAATGATTTGAATATTTTTTTAATCATTTAAGGAGAAGATAGATTTCTGCAATTCCTCTTTTTTAATTTTAATCATAAAGGTGAAGATTTTTGTGAGAAAGAGGAAGAATTAAATAAAAAAGAAAGAGAGAAAGAAATAAAAGAAAGAAAAATAAGGTAAATAAAAGTCAAAATAATGCAAGGGTAATTTTGCCCTAAAGGGGGTTAAGTGAGCAAAATTAAAGGTTAGGGGTAAACTGAGAAATAGGGTATTATTTAAGGGGATAAAATGTGATTAACCCTAAATGTTGGACCTTCGGGCTAGAGGTACTATCGAGCCGAGTCGAGCTCGAGTAGCATCATACTCGAGCTCGAACTCGGTCAGAATCAGTGTTACTCGAGTTCGAGCTCGAGCTCGAACGAGTTAATAAATTTGGATTCGAGCTCGACTCGATAAAATAAAATTAAACTCGAGCTCGACTCATTTGAGCTCGATTAAGTTCAAGTAAATATCAAGCCCGATCTACTCGAGCTCGAGCTCGAGTTTTGAAATAAACATATAAATTTTTTCTCAAAATATATAATATAAATATAATATGAAAACTTGATTAAACTCGTCGAGTATTCGAGTATTTATTTTTGGAGCTTGAACTCGACTCGTTGAATGTAACGAGTAGTTCGAGCTCGGTCCCAAGCTTTTTACCAAGCCGCTCGCAACCTGCTCGCGAACGGCTTGACTTGATTGCACCCCTACTTCGGGCACAAGGGCCCAGAATTCAACATGTTTGAAACCAACCACAACTAATTTGATCTTGACGGTTGGACCTTTACGTGCAAGATCCCAGCACTAAATTTGTTTGAAAATACATATTGACTTAAAAGTCCTTTAGACCACCTTGCAAAAGTTTAGTTATGTTAAACCAATGAATTTGGATTTAGAGGTTCAAGATTTTGACAAAATGCAGTTTTGTGAAAGCTTAGTTATGTTAAACGAATGACCTTCTTTTTTTTTGTGGTTTGCTTTTTATCCAAAAAAAAAAAAAAAACAATGACCTTTTATGTATACAAGTTAGGTGAGACTCTATAGCTAGTTGGGTACAAGTTGTTAGAGTACTAATGATTTTGTAAATATCAAACCAACGTTATCGTTATGTTAAACCAATGATATGGTATTTTAGGATTTTAGATTTTCTCACAAGTTGCACTCAAATATACACGCAATCAGCGCTAATACAAAATAATCTAGGCAATTAGTATTCCAAGTAGGAAAACAAAACAAAACAAAACAAAACAAAACAAAAATGCTTTACAAGCAACAACTATTTGTCTCCTGATAAATAGTATCTTAAAGATAAGAAAATATATCAATTAACCTCAAACAAATGTACACATTAGTATCTTAAAGATAAGAAAATCGAACTAGTAAAAACCTCCTAAAATATATCGCAATAGGTAAAATTACCTCCGATGAGTAGAAATTGTACATAGAGGATTTGTTTCGCGATTCATTAATCAAGACCCGAAGCGTTAACTGTCTACCAAAAAATAAAATTAAATTGTGAAAGTAAGAATGTAAATATCAAGTATATGTGTAGTTATCTTACTGTGTGTTTTAATGAGTGTCCTAAAGCATTAGTGAGAAAAATTCCAAAGTCAAAATCACTTGACCATCTTACCCCTCTTATAGTTATCACATTTTTTTTTTTGGAAGGCTTATAAAAGTGGTTACCGTTGATTAAAGTCATCATAATAGAGTCAATGCCAGACTATTTGAAAATTATTGATGGAGGACAAAAAGGAGAGAATAGAGAAGGGGAAGCATTAGCAATCTTAAATATGTACAAGACTGGGAACAAGAGGGTGGAGAATTGACAATACTTAGCTATGTACAAGACTAGAGAGGGCTAAATTTAATTTCAAACATGTTGTTAGGTGGCAAACACTAATTTGCTAAGGATCCACTTGAAAAACAATAATGTTTTAACGTCAAGAAGTAGAAATTTCAAGATCTTGGTGATTGGTCACCCCCCCCCCCCACCTCCCATTTCCCACGTTGAGGATATGTTGATAAGGAAAAAAAAGAAAGAAAGAAAGACAAGCAACACATCCTTATTCCTAAAAGAGTAGGGTAGGGAACAACATCATTTTCCTTAAAAAACAGGGTAGGCAGTATATCCTCATCTTGACTTGGAAGTCCTTTAGACCTTTGTCAAGAAGAATTAAGGGAAGGAATGATACCATTCTTGAAGGTTGAGGGGCAGGCTTAGTCTAAAAAAAAAATGTAAGACTCGGTCATTTTTTATGTATGTTAACTTTAGATCGTTTTCAAATAAAAGACTCGCAATTGGTTTGAAATGGACAAAACTGTACAACAATTATTCAGTTGCAACCATTTGCGCTCCTATTCTTGCCAACAAGGTCCATCAACAAATTTATTTGAAAACAATCACAATTGTCGTATCCAAAAATCATTTTTACTTGATCCTTATTTAATAGGAAGGTAGTAAATTCATACCTTTCTATTCTAAATTCACAATAAAATGGTATAAGGTGTAGATTTAGGATGGAGAGTTGTGGATTTAGTCCCTCTTGACTACCTTTTTTAAACCTCACCTAATTTTTATTGCAATAATTTATTCATTTTTGTTTGTCAATTATTCATCAGATTATATTGAAAGAACTAAAATTTCTAATAGTTGTCCAATTATATCATTACTCTGTATCTTGATCAATAGATTAATATATTTAAAAATCAAATCAAATCAATAATGTTATATCATTCAATTTGCACGAAACTTTTGGAGGGTCTACAACGTTAAAATTATTAATGTTCAAATGCCAAAACTTGATCCTTTATTCTTTTTTTCATTTTCCATGTGTAACTAGTGAGTGATGTAGTATATTAGGAACTATTTAGCATCAAATATGACTTTAAAATCGAACTTATTAGGGTACAGCCTAACCAGATTGTGATAGTAATATTGAGTTCATAGGCGTTTTATATTTGCAGGCTCGGTTCATTAAATTAGAAAATTCATAAGAGTCAAACTGGTGTGCCAAG